ATTGGGAAGGACAAAGTAAAATTATGTCTGTTCACAAATAACATAATCCTATAAAATGATGTCTAGTTCTATCAATTGATGGAGGAGTTTTTTTTTTTGTTTTTTTTTTTTTAAGACAGAGTCTCACTCTGTTGCCCTGGCTAGAGTGAGTGCTGTGGCATCAGCCTAGCTCACAGCAACCTCAAACTCCTGGGGTCAAGCGATCCTTCTGCCTCAGCCTCCCAAGTAGCTGGGACTACAAGCATGTGCCACCATGCCCAGCTAATTTTTTCTATATATTTTTAGTTGGCCAATTAATTTCTTTCTATTTTTAGTAGAGACTGGGTCTCGCTTGTGCTCAGGCTGGTTTCAAACTCCTGACCCTGAGCGCTCCATCCACCTTGGCCTCCCAAAGTGCTAGGATAACAGGCGTGAGCCACCACACCCAGCCTGATGGAGGAGTTTTTACATTATCTGACTATTGTGGAATTGTCTCTTTCCCATTTTATTTCTGTTAATTTTTGCTTCATGTATTTCAAAGCTCTGTATTAGGCACAACACATTGATAATTGTTATCTCTTTGTCTGGTATTAAGATAACCAGCCTTCTTACTCCTAGTTTTTGCATGTATATCTTTTTATATCCATTTACTTTCAACCTATATGTGCCATATTTAATGCACATCTCTTGCAAACAGCAGATAATAGGGTCTTCTTTATTTATTCATTCTGTCAACTCATAGCCTTTAATTTAGTGTTTAACCTGGGGCATCAGAAAACTATGGTCCACAGGCCAGTGCCACACCTTCATCTATATATTTGAGCCTGCTTTTTGTGCAGTAAGACTGAATTGAGTAGTTGTGATGCTGGTTGTATGGTCCCCATATTCTTAAATATTTACTATCTGGCCCTTTAGAGAAAAATTTCACTGATCCCTGTCATAAATCACCTAAGTTAACATTTAATGTGTGTCAATTTGGTTGGATTTAGGTCTGTTACTTTATTATCTGTTTTCACTTTGTCTTCTCTGTTTTTTGTTTGGTTGGTTGTTTTTCCTTTTCCCCTTTACTGCCTTCTTTTGAGTGTTTTGGATTTTTGTTAGTATTTCATTTTAATTTATCCATTGGATTTTGGCTATATTTGTTTGTATTTTTTAAATGGTTGCTCTAGGGATTATATTACCTAAATTTTCTCAATTATAATCTAAGGATTTATAATATATAACCTTTCTACTTAGTAATATTTTACTACTTCATACATAATGATGATGGTAAAACCTTGCAACCATATGCAGGTCCCTTCCCTTCACCTCACTGCATTGACCTTCTTACTATAGTTATGTATATTACATCTCCATACCTTGAAAACTGCACCAATGTTAGAATTTTTGCTTTCCAACAGTATTGTATATTTTTTATAAAACTTGGGAAAAAAATAATCTGTTATACTTATCCAGCTATTTACCATCTTTTTTGCTCTTTATTTCTGAAAAATAGTTTCCGTCTGGTATAATTTCCCTTCAGCCTGAAGAACTTCCTTTAGCGTTTAGTGTAGATCACATCTGCTAGAGATGAATTCTTGTAGTTTTCCTTTATCTGAAAATGTCTTTACATGCATTCCTGAGGGATTTTTTAAATTGAATATGGAATTCTGGGTTACTGTTCTTTTGTTTTTGCACTTTAAAAATATTTTTCCACTATCTTCTGGCCCAGCATGTGGTATATCTTGGTGATAGTTTCTGGTGATCATTTCTGATGAGAAATGTGCAGATATTTGAATTATTGTTCCCCTTGAAGACAGGGGCCCTATCTTGGGGCTTATTCACCATTACCTAGCATAATCCCTGGTACACAGGAGGTATTATACAGTATTTCTTGACTTGAATTTATTTTTATTATGTTTAGTTTATAGTGTTAAGACTAGATAGGCTCATTAAGTTTCCATTTTAGCAGAATCTAAATTGCCCAACGGGTGTTACTGCTGTTATATTTTATAATACCAGATCATTTTATTAGACCTGAATAACCAGACAAAAAAGCCATGCCTTACCTATCCATTTTCTCAAACAATTGTCTTTCATTTTCTCTTGGTTACTTGGCTTCCTTGCTGTGTTAAAGGAAAACTGGAGGCAGTAGATGGTTTTCAAAGCTTTTGTTCCCCTCTTTTTTGCATAGATACTACTCATCATTTTATAAAATAATGAAGTTAAGATACATCCAGAAAGAACTGAGCCAGAAGTGATCTAGACAGTTCTGTGTTTTATAACATTACATTTGATGTTTAATATTTTCAGAGAGAATTAAATACAGCAGAGATTTCCTGTTGAAGCTCTCAAGTGTTTCCATCTGCAGAAAAAAACCAGACTTTCTGCCTGATCATCCCATTGTACTTCAAAAGCCAGTAAGTAGTCTTCTAATTTTGTATTGTAACATTGTATTCCAAAATTTGTCTTTAACATTTTCATTTGACTCTACTTCTAGATTTATAGTCTTTTTTACTGCAAAATATAATTCAGAAAAGTACAAAAATCTAAAGGCATATAACCAATTATTATAAAGTAATTACCACTCAAGAAATAGAATGGAATAATTGTTTTTCAGAAATATTTTTCTTTTGAGAGGTCATGAAAATATCATGCCATATTCTAAAAGTTCTATTTTGTTTTTCAATTAAGTTCTATAATCCACCTGGAATTGATTTTACTGTATGATATGAAATAGGAGTTAAGTTTTACTTTTTTCTACATGGCTATCTTAGTCATTTTAGTAATATTTATTTAAAGGATAGTCCTCTGACAACTTTGTGGCAATATAGGCATGGTCTGTTTGTGGGCTCTCTATTCTGTTCCATTAGTCTTTTTATACAGTAAAACAAGTCATTTATTTTTCTTCAACATGTCTTTGCTACTTTTAGCTCTTTATATTTCTGTGTTATCCTATTAAATTCCATCTTTATGAATACACATAATACATACATACATATATCTTTTCAGATATTTATTAGAAAGGACATGGGTTTTGGCATCAGACTTGGGTTCAATTTGTAAGTCCATTCTGTGTACTGATAATTCAAACTTGGACAAGTCACTTAACCTCATTGAACCAAAGTTTTGCAATTACAGATAAGAATGGTAATCTCCTCTGGTTGTTAGGATTAAATAAAATAATGTGTGAGAGTGCTTAGCATAGTACCTATCTCTCATTATGCACTTAGTAAATGATTTCCATCTTTTATGGTCTCTACTTAAATTTAACTGGAATTTGACTTTAATCTGTTAGGGTTTTCATAAATACTTTTATATAGGTAAAAGGAACTAGATTCTATTGAGATAAGAATAGAATGTGAGATATAGACCTACTACCTTTTGTCTCCATTTCTGGGAGTCTAACCCTTTGGAATCCATAGTATTTTTTCTCAATTACAATTTTAAAAGATTTTATGTTCTTTGTAGTTTATATCAATATTTCTTAATTTAAACTCTCTAACTTACCTCAGCCAATTCTTATTTTAAAATTAAAGCATATATTAAAAATTTTTAACTAACCATAAAAAGACCAACTTTTTAAATAATACTTCTCAAATAGGCATATTTAGTGAGGAAAAATGTATTTGATGATGTTTGAATTTTCCCACTTGTTCAAAGATCTTTGGGATATATAATCCTTGGTCTATAAGAATAAATATAAACTTCAATGTTATATAAAATATAGTCAGTTTTTCATTTGCAACCTTTCCATCTTTAATATTTTATTTTGTAAATAAAAATTTGACATACACTTTATTTGGAACAAACACATTAGAATTAAGTTTACTTTTGATTTATGCATTAATACATTTTTTAAAGCTAGATACCACAGAAAACAGAACAGCAGTTTGGAATACAATTAAATATATTTAAAAATGAATTACATGTATTTTTTAAACACAGAAGAACTGTTTTGTTATTTGACAATTCCATTTATTTTAATAGATTCTATAGTAACATGCATTTAGATCTGTAAACACTTAGTAGGCTCACAGTATTTTGGTTTGATAAACTAATTAGAAAAAATGTATTCAATCAACTGATAACTCTTTCTTTTATATTACAGGAAAACAACCAAAGTTTTAAGTAGCATTTTAAGAACAGATGAATTTGAAGATAAAGAATTATTTGTTTTATATTTTGGACACCTGCAAATGAAGTGGATCTATAACAATAACTGTAAAGGACTGTGACAATTCAATTTATTTTTAATTTTGATGGTTGGCTATTTGGTTTCTCTTAAAGTGAGAAAGAGATATTTTAAACTATAAAGAATTTTCTAATCAGTTTCAGCTTTGCAGGCAGTTTCCTGCACAAATTGGGAAGTAACACTGGAAAGTAGGAATTTGGTTAGTGAAGTGGGAAGACTGTGTAATTACAATTTGCATGCTACTTGCAATTTTTTGCTTTTCATCACTTGTAATAATGGAATGGAAATGTAAGCTGTAAAGATTCTCAAATATAAAGTATTTGCTACAATGTATATATGGTACATAATTTCTTAAAATTGCTTTTGTTTTGTTTCCCACTGATTTCAGACCAGTGTGTGAATAGATCATTACAATCTCTTCAGAGGCTTAGAACAAGAGTGATTCAGGATGTTCAATTCATGGTTCTCAATTTTTTCATAGGCGTTTCTTTTCAAATATATGATTGGTCTCTAGGTGTTTGATAACATTGTCTAAATTCATAATTAATAGCAGAGATTGATAATTTAGAAATGATAATAGTAATGAAACTAAAGTAGAAAAATAACTACTTATGTCATTAATCAGACTATATGAACAGAAGTTGGGCAATTGCAAAATAAAACTGGTATCTTTATTTCCAAAAGAGGAAAAATTTAGGCATTTGCAAATAATTGAGTTGTGTTAAGTTTCTATTCTATAATTTTTTTATAACAACATGTATGGATGAAGAATTTTGGGGTTTAAACTTTTAATTCTAGAAATTTTATACAATAAATCTGTAATTTGTCACTGTGGATGTTACTGTTAAAAAAAAAAAAGGTTTCTTCCAGCATAGTGTCCAAAAAAATTGCTGATACAAAGGTAAGTGTAAATTCTGCCTTCTTCTCTCAGATCCCTAGGTCTCTTGGCAAGGCATTTCAAGGCCATCATTTGGCAGAAAGTTTTATTTCACTGAATTGTGAACTCCTAAAACCCCTGCCTTTTTCTTCATTAGTTTTTGGGTTTGTTACCCAGATTCAAGCTTTTAGTCCTAGGTACATTTCCTCCTATCCTGGTCTTCCAGTACCCTCTTTTTTATTACTTTGTTCCCCAGAAAAATGGGTTGTTTTTTGAATAGGAAAAAAACCACTACATTAACCATAAATGTATTACTTTAAAATGAGACATATACATTTAGGGACAGGTGTTTTCATTTGTTTTTTACCCTATTATTTTCCTTTTCTACTCTAAGTTCCAGTAATATATATATGTATGTGAATATTCACACAGCTCTCACAAACATACACAAAAATATATAATTTATAGAAGAGCTGGGATCAGAATTACCATCTAATTACATTGGTTTACTTTATTGTTTGCCTGTTCTTAAGTCTTTTTGATTCCAATTTAAGAAATAAGATAGAACTTATTCCAGTTTGGAATCTAAAGAGCCCTTTCATTTAGCACTGAGGATGGAACCCTTTAAAGTCATAAAAACCACGCTACTTTGGAAACTGCCTGCTACTCAAAAACTTTGACATGCTTTTTGAATTGGATACTGAAATGGACCAACCAAAGTAATGCTTTGATTGGCTATAATTTGTGTTTTTGAAGCCATTTATAACCACTGTTTTAAAGAAGAGTTTGTATATCAAAAGACACATAGGTTTCAAAGTCTTTTGATCCTTCCTTATTATCTACAATCAGAGTAAGACCGCAAAGATGGTTTTGTTATCTATTTGCCTTTTTACATGTGTATAGCTTGTTTGAATAATCATTGTACATCTCCATTAATGTTGTTCTTTGCTTTGTATATAAATTAAAAGAGTTGAGCCAGGTGTTGTTTCATAGTGCTTGTCATCCTCAGAGTTGACCAGAGACACATATATATGCACACACATGTGCATATGTACAATATGTCACAATTTACTAATTTCTAATAGAAACTATGAAAATGTACTTATTTAGATTGAATGAGCACTGAGTATACAAAGGTATTGGTCAGAGTTGATATTTCGTAAATTAGATTAAGAGAACATTTTAGGTCAAATTTTATATTTGAGAAAGAAAATTTTACTTCAACATTCCTTTTTTCGTGAGTTTTCTAACAGTGAAAAATCAGGAAAATTTTAGCATTTAGTTTTTCCCCTGAACACTTGTGGTTTCAAAAAAACTTGGACTGGAGAATAACATGATAACATAATTTTATATGTATTATATTTCATTAGCAGGGTTTATAATCATATTTTTATTTTTAAAATATTTAATTTCTGAGCTTGTAGAGCAGAACATATAAGGTACATAGTTTTAGTCATTCTAGTGTTGAAACTGGAAAACAGATGTCTTCTGTCCAGTACTTTCCCTACTATGTGAATTTCCTAAAGCTTTTGTTTTATATTTCCTCTTTATTCATTTGGGTTAAAATTTTATTTTTAAAGTATTTTGAAATCTTTATTTAAATCCAAATATCTATTTTTATAAGAAAAATTAGCTCTTTGGATAACATACCAAAATTATATGCCATAAAATTTGAACAATACTTCCCCAAAATAAAACTTTTTTTTCTTGATATGTTTAACTTGCACAGAATTAAGAAGCTAATATATGATACAGTGGTGACATACCACCATAATATAGTAAATGATATTAAATGGTACTCTTTTATTCATTTTTAATAAACCAGTTTATAATCTGACAGATGGATAGAGATACTACAGGTTATAGCCAAGGTTGTTTTATGCCTATGTACTAACTTTTTAGGTAATGTAAAGAAACTAGTCACAGGACCATGAGTTGGGGATGGAGTAGACATTACTGAAGAATAAGCTTCACTCACAGGAAATCTGTTACTTAATCACAAAATGCTGATTTAACCCTTTTATAGTATATAACAGTCTACAAAATCTGACTTATGAAGTAATGTTCTAAAAGTTCCCAAAGACTTGATATGCTTTTTCACAATATCATTCCTTTATGCATATGTTTTCCCACATATTAGGATTTTGTCACTAAATGGTTTAAGTTGATTACAATGTAGCAAAGCATTTAGCATCAAATATTGAGAATACTGAACTTTTAAAATTTAGCTAAAATTCACATGAATGATAAAGTTATAGAATACATTTTAAAAGAGTTCACTTAGAGCAAACATATTAAATAAAAGTATACAGTAAATTAACAACGACAGAGAATTTTCTATTGACATTTTAGGTAACAACACTTATTTTACACTTGGAACCATAAAGAAAATGTCTAGTAACATCTAGTTGTTGTTCAGGATCCACCATGAAGCTGAAAAGAAAAACAAATTTTTAAAATAATGAAAATAACTTTTAGGGCAAAGAAATTTTAAGGTACAAATCATTCTTAAAGTGATCATTCCCCTCACAGCTTTAGTCTGCGTAATTCCTTATTTTTCTAGTCACCATTTCCTGACTGTTTGAGCCAATATTGAATAGGAGAACTATGCAATTGTTATTCATACCATATTTTTTGGCACTTTGTCATAGTCTACAATTTTTGTTATTTACGAATAGAGCTTTATTTGGCAACAAGATTATAAATACCCTGAGGATAAAATCATGTTGTTGTTGTTGTTTCAATGTACCGAACCCTGGTAGTAGTTAAGAAATATATAAGATACTTCTACATATAGATTTCAGAAAGATTGGGTACAAGTGTTTGTGTTACAAATAATATTTTCAGTATATCTATATTGTAAAATTGGAAATTTTTACCCCAATGAATATAAATATCCCAAAGAAAAACCTATGACAATGAAGTATGATTGGTGGAATACTGTGAGAAAAACACATAAATGGAAAGGATTAAAATTTGCTTTCAAAGATGTTTAATTTGCTGGCAATAGTACCTTTCTGTGTATCTTCTTTTCTCATAACCATAGACCTTTTTCTTATGCCAAGAGATGTTCTGCCCCACAGACCAAGTTCTTATACTTTTTTTGTCTGGGTGATTATGATGGCTATGGACCTGATTCTATATTCCAGTTTGCCTCATTTGAATATTTGTATTTGAGAGTTCATAAGAATATATTTTAGTTTGTATTTTCGTATCTGGATACAGTCTGGTTTAGTTGCTTTATTTCTTGAAATGCATCTTAGTTAAACCACCTAGTAATCTTAACAAAAAAGCAATCTTATTAAAAATCATAATTTATCAGTTAAATTAGAAAAACCTACTCATCCTGTGTTTCTAAATGTAATAGCTGTTTTTTTCTTTTAGATTTTAATTTTAGGTCTAAATATGTGAAACTCTAATACATTTTTAATTGTTTTATTTTTAATCTTCACAGTCATTATAATACACAAAATGCACAAAACTGGTTATTAAAAATAGTATTAGAAGTCATAGGGCCATTAAAACCCGTAAATAATCTTTATATACTAATTTCAGCTTGCTGGAATGTGCCTGCTGTTGCAACTGTAAAACTTTGACTTTAAAATAGAATGGGATGCACAAATAAATGTTAAAATTTTGTTTGAAGTAGGTTTAAAAATTGTGTTAGAAACCAAGCCTAACTTTTCTTTTTGTTTTATCAAATTCCAGTGATCATTGTTAAGATTAAATGTGATATGAAAATTGATGCAAAATAGGGCAGTAATGAAAAGGCATTAAATTGTATTAAATCTGGGCTAAGAAAACAAGAATTTCTCCAGTTTTATTTGTGCTCATCTTTTCTCTCTAAATTGAAAAATGAGTAATGTAGTGCATATACCAATGACACTAACAGTGCATAGAAAGTTAGTCCAAGATATTGGTGAAATTTGACAAGAAAACTCTATCAAATTACTTTACATTTTCAGTTCTTACTATAGCATTTTTTCCCCACTAAGAACTCATTTGCCTCTCTTTCTACTCTAATTTTAGTCAGGGGTTTTCTGTACTGAAAGGACTCAAGACACCAATAAAAGCAAGCTTGTTCCTTTCTTTCTACATTGTTGAACCAGTGGTTTCAAGATTGGGAGAGTTGAAACGGGTATGTTAGCAGACACAAAAATTATAAGTGTCAGGACTTCTTGGAAATGTTCATGACCAAAGACCAATGTATTTATGATGACATCAAAATCCTTATTCATTCCTTAAGAAATATTTGTTGCTGTGTGCCATACACCAGCAGTCTCCAGCCTTTTCGGCACCAGGGACTGGTTTCATGGAAGACTATTTTCCCATGGACCGGGTGGACAGGGGATGGTTTGGGGATGATTCAAGTGCATTACATTTATTGTGCAGTCAAACCTCTCTAATGATAATCTGTATTTGCAGCTGCTCCCCAGCACTAGCATCACCGCCTCAGCTCCACCTCAGATCATCTGGCATTAGATTCTCATAAGTAGCATGCAACCTAGCTCCCTCACATGTGCAGTTTACAATAGGGTTCATACTTCTATGAGAATCTAATGCCACTACTGATCTGAGAGGAGGTGGAGCTCGGGCGGTCATGTAATGGATGGGGAGTGGCTATTAATACAGATGAAACTCTTGCTGGCTTGCCTGCCACTCACCTCCTGCTGTGTGGCCTGGTTTCTAGCAGGCCACAGACCAGTACCAGTCTGCAGGCCAGGGGTTAGGGACTGCAGCCATACACTGTACCTATATTGCATTAGGGTAGGGAATATTAAGGTAAGTAAGATGTGGATCTTACTTTCCTGCATTGTATGTTCAAAGGTTACAGCAGTCATATTTACAGAAATTGAGTTCTAGGACTTTTCTCCCCATTTATAACATATTCTTCAAGCCTGGTACAATAGTTCAGATAAAATTTTCTTGGATAATTTGAAGACAGTCACTGAAGTCTGTTTCTTAATAACCTGTGCTACCATGCTGTGTGCCCCTGTGCTGTACCTTTTCTCAAGCTATGATGCATCCTAATTTAAACTGCCTGGGTCAAATTGTGAATCATGAGAAATTTCAACCATATTCATGGCTCTCCTATTTGAGGATTAAATTTGAGCTGTACATGAAGAGAAATTCTACAAGTCTACTGTTCTCTAGGCCAGACAAAGCTTTCCTTAAGATCTAAAGTAAACACATAACTAGAGTTCAGGCTGAGACTGTGAGTCAGCCAACTCGAAAGCATTCACACCTGACTTCCTTCATCTCCTCACCTACCTTTAATTCTACAATTTACTTTTCAACTTCCATTTGTTCCCCAATCCATCAAACTCTATCCTAATTTTAAATTCCTATCACTCTATTAAAACTGTTCTCTTGAGCAGTGACCTTGTCAAATACAATTTCCAGTCCTATTCTCTTCAGTCATTCTTTACTATACATCCTTCCCTCCCACCCTCTGGAGCACTGTATCCTTGCATTTTACTCCTCTTTTGGTTTCCTTGATACTCCAGTACTCTGATTCTCCTACTTCTGATTGGTTCCCCTCAGTCTCCTTAATAAAGAAGGCTTTTCTTCCTCTACCAACTTTTTAATGAAAGGCATCTCCCCAGGCTTCTACTACATATTTTGTTCTTATCTTCATACTTTCTAACCAATCCCAGGCTTCAGCCATCATCTTGTGCTTAACTCCTGAATATTATATCTGCAAATGGAGTCTCTAACTCTCTGGCTAGCTCCTGGTTCAGGTGCTTTTCTTCCCTGGCCTAGATTATTGCCCTGCCTGGTTAATCTGTCTTCTCCATGACATCCACATCTTTCTCCCCTGTCAGTTATTACTGATTACAGTATGTCACCATCCCTCTCAGAAACCTTAAATGACTCCAGATTACTTTTCAGACTCCTCATTGTGACATTGTCAACCTCATTTATCACTCACTCCTCTCTCCCCACATGTGTCATATATAAACCTTATGCCTTAATCATACCTTTGCACCAAGAAGCCAATCACATTCACATTTCTTGCATTTCTTCATGTCTCGAATTTACCAAAGTACCCTTCCTCTCCACCTTTACTTGTCCAAATCTCTTAATATCTAGCTCAAGTCATTTTCTAAAAACTATTAAGTTAAAGAAGTAATCACTTCTCCAAGTCCAGAAAGCACATACTACCTTTAATGGTAACTACTATTTTATGCCCTAAGCAGTTTTTTTCCCCTGCAAACATTTGTCTTTGCAAAATTCTATCAAACTGGACAGAATGCACTTTATGGGTAGGATTGTGTTTTTACTTTTTACCCCCAACACAATGCTTATTCAGAGTTGGAGCTCAATCAGTGCCAGTAAATAGACTAAGCACCCCAGCAATCCCAGTGCCTAGCACATATTCATACTCAGTAAATATATGTTTAATTGGTACTTGAATGGATGGGTAGATGAACAAATGAATTCTGATTCTCAGTTATCTCAAATAAGCTCTAGCTAGGCCAAGAACCTGCTGTATTGGGGCCATATGTGACCTTCTGGATCTTTGAGTGCAGCCTTTTGACTGAATCCAAATGTTACAGAATGAATCTTTTAATAAAGCGATTTGTTCTGTCAAGTTTGGATTTGGTCGAGGGGCCACATGCCGGGATCTGGAGGGCCACATGTGATCTTGAGGCTGCAGGTTCCGCACCCCGCATTATTGTAACAGCTTTTGTAATAAATATATTTCTAATAGAATTCTAATATCCAGTGTATGGATCACTTATTTGAAATTGTTTTAATACACTAAATTACAATATGGTAATGAATTTGAATAATATTTTGATGTATCATCATTTGACTTGTACTTCAAGTTTGTTACAATGATGATCAGCAAATGATTAAACAGTAGGTTCAGTATAGCCAGCAATACAAATAGGTTCATTTCTTGCCCCACTGCTAAATTGTAAGATATATAAAGAAATAATAAGGAAAGCACCGCTGATAAAGTGTGGGGGAAAAGAATATGCTATGTTTTAAGAAATAAAAGACAATACAAAAGCACATAGAAACACTGTGAACCCAAGATAATTACCAGGAACTAGCATGGTAGATGTGAGTTCTGGAGTTTCCAAGAAATCCACGTTACTTCTTTGGAATGTCTTGCTATAATTTGTCTGAAGGTGGCTGTATAAATAATTATAGGTTAAGGCTGTGCATTTTTATTTACAATCTTTCTAAATAGAGTGCAGCAGAGTTCAATCAAGATGGAAAGGTTTGAGATAATTTGGATTAAGTAAATGCCTAGATATAGACTTTTTTAAAAATGGTTTTTTAGCCTTAAAAAAGACTCAGGAGTAATTTAATAATTGTCACCAGAAACTTAATAAAAGGTTTTTAAAATAGGAGAACATTAATTCTCTATAAAAGATAAAACACTAGGAGGTAGACTTTAATTGCAACAAGAAGTTTAAACAGAAGAGAATACTTTGGCTGTCAGGATGTTTAAAAAACAGGACAGCTAAGAAGAGGAACTATAAATTTTCCACTCCTAGGGAATGAAAAGAAATAAAAAAAAATCATCTATCTTAAAGTGTAGGCCTTGAAGCATCGAGTTGAATAAGTTACCTTTGAGTTCCCTTCTATGCCTGAAATACTGCTGGTTTCATTTTGCCTTCATTATAGCACAAAGTGCCTTCAAAATAGCCACAAAAAAAAAACCTTTCAGGTGAAATATGTTATCAATTGAATTTCTAGGTATTCAATTATTTCCATTATCATATTTAACACCTTACACATGGACTTATCAGAGAGCTATAGTCTCTGTATTTTTTAAAACCACCTAGAACTATTTGTATAATCTCAAGATAGCAAAATTTCTTTCATATCATTTAAAAATGATATATTTGTTATTTATTAGTAATCATTTTAATTTCAAAGAAATTGATTTGTTTTTAATCATTGCCGAACAGTAACTTTAATTTCCCCTTTATCTGTAGTGTTTAAAGACATTTAGAAGGTGTTAGGCTATGATGATCTTAACCATTAAAAGTAGTTTTATTATAAAATAAAATAATCACAGAGCTTACCTTGTGAAAAGGAGGTAAGGATTTTTATTCTCTTCCCCTTTCTGCATCCTTTGCCTACACTTCCACCACTATCCTCACCCACCTTAGATACCCATTACCCCTATTTAAATCTTCTTATCTGAATGCATCAGTAAGATAAGACTCAAAGTGAGACCATTACCAAAAGTATTTGTGTTTCAAGAGAGAAATGGTTTCTAATCCATAAAATTTTAAAAGTGTAGGATTCAGAATAATGGGAAAATGGGACAGGTCTTAAGGTGAGGTAAATGGATTGGAGCTTTCCTACAAATACTAAAATTATATCATGTACATTGCCACCTCCCTAAGCTTCACAGAAAATCAGCCTGGCTCATAACTTACCTATTCCACACACTACTATTCTCCCAGAACTCATAAATCATGTAGCGAGATTCATTTGAAAGCTTCTGTATAGAAATACTGAAATAGAAAAGAAAAGGTATAATTAGCCATTGGAAACTAAAGAAGCAAACTAATTTTTATAATCATCTATATGGTATGAAACAATCATATCCATTCATACAAGAAACAATCTTAAGATGCCCACATTCAAGTCAAGCAAGTTTGTCAAGAATTGATATGTCCAATGTCTGGCATAAAACTTTTTTAGTTTTCTAGTTTGGTATCATGAAAATAGTCACAATGTATTATAGACATCACAAATATAACTTTTGCAAATTTTCATTCATTCATTCAAAAAGATTTATTGAGCATCTGTTGTGGCAGAGTTCAGAAAAATATGAGTGCATGCTACCTGCCCTTGCCCTCAAATGTGACTCTTTAGACTGGCCCTGCCAACCACCGTGAATTTGTCAAATTCTTAGCCTTACCCCATCCCTGTAATGACAGCTTTTGTTTGCTCTATGTCATTTAAGTCACTTGGGCCACACTGCTGACTTCTAATTTGCCAGTGCCTAATGATTCTCTCTCTGTTTCTCTTTTTCACACATACACGCCTTTCAACTTTGTCTCTAGATGAAAGTTTGAGAATTCACATTCTGGCCATCATTGCAGATTTTAGAAAAAATTGCTTTTCCAGTTTGGGGAAGATACAATTTGTTCCTTCCAGCCCTTAGCTGAAGGACCTTAGCCTGAGAGTGGCTAAAAAAAAAAAAAGATATAATATGTTTTGGAGAAGTGAAAAGAGGAGGCTGGCTGAAATGACAGGTTGAGATGAAGACTGTGGATTTAATCCTGTAGCAATGAGGAGCCACTGAAAGATTTAAACCCAGGGAGAGTAACATGCTAGAACTGTATTTTAAAACATCCTTTTGATGGCAGTGCGAGGTATGGTATGGAGGGCAGTCAGACAAAGCAGAAAGAAAATCTGGAAAGATAGTGAAATATCTTAGGTGAGAAATTATGAAGATCCAGATTAATGTTGAAACAAAGGAATAAAGAAGAGGGGACAGATCCATAAATTTAAGGAAGAGTGGGAGACAAAGATTACTTTAAAAACTTGACTACACAGTTATAAATTGTTCAACCTAACGCTTCACGATATGTTCAGATTAGAAAGCAAAATGTGGGATTGGAAAAACAACAAGGATTTTGAGTTGATATAGAAAACAGAATTTACCAGTAAAATAGATGATTAATGTAGATTTAGGATTTACCTAAGTTTGGCCAGCAGGTGGCAGTAACTACACACAGAAATTTGAATTTTTTTTCTCTAGCTTTGCATGTAGTGTTTTTCAGAGTTGTTTATCTAGTTTGGTTAATTAAGGATGATACAAAAATGTTATGATGTTCTTAGCTCAACTATAGGAAAAGGGAAAGGTTTACTATAGGATTGAATTGAATAGAATTTGAATGGAAAGTTAAATTTGTGATTTTCTAATCCTAGGAGTTCATGAATGGGCTTTTTGGGGGGTAGGGGGTGGGGAGGGTGTTCCTTGAAATCCCAGAAATAATCTGCAAATTAACGTGCATGTATACAGTTTCCTAGGAAGAGAATCCTTAGCTTCCATCATAGTCTCAAAGGAGTCTGTAGTCCCCAAATGTAAACTAACAGTGTAACGTACAAATTATAATCCATGTCTATTTTCTTTAGGACAAAGTTTAAAATATTGAGCCTAGTATTTCAGGATCTTCATCAATTTCTTCCTGTAGACTAATTCATTTGTATTACTTATTACATAAAAAGCCCACTTATCCTGCTATCTGAACCTTTTATTTTCCAGACTAGCCAAAGACCATAAAGAATTCATAAAATGTTAGCATAATGCTCAAGCTTTTGAAGGATTAAACAGAATATCAAAGTGTGGTATGGGAGTGGTTTAAAGTATGGTCCAACAGACCTACCATTTTACATGGATTGTCTTTTTACCTTCATGGTGTGACTGACACTGTCCATTACCTCCCCAACTATTACTCTCCTCTTGCTAACAGGACCCTGCCATTGTTCATTTTGCAATGTCGACAATGTAGCAATCACTGCTGGGCTGAGACTGTCCATTTATCAGTTGTGTCACCTTGGGCCTATTATTCAACCTTAGTTTTATCATCTATAAAATGGTGACAATAATACTATGAATTTTCAGTAAGGTGTTCCATGTAGAACACTTAAACTAGTACTTTGAATATTGTATGTGTGTGTATTTAATTAGCTATTAACCCAATAGCTAAAAAGTCTCACTTTCATTGGGTGAGTAGCTATGAAAGCTAAGCCTTAATGTTGTGTAAGCTAAGAAGCATGATAGAAGTAAAAGGAACACGGGAGACAAAAGACCAGAAAAAAAAAAAAACTGAGGAAAAAATAGACATATCTGTGAAAACAGTGAGAAGCAGGAATCTAATAATACTAAGTACGAATAATAGTGGTGGTGGTGATGATTTCTAACATGTATTGCTCTGTCCAAGGCTCTGGCTTAAGCATTTTACATGGATGTCCTTTTACCTTCATGGTGTGACTGACACTGTCCATTACCTCCCCAACTATTACTCTCCTCTTGCTAACAGGACCCTGCCATTGTTCAATTTGCAATGTCTACAATGTAGCAATCACTGCTGGGCTGAGACTGCACTGCCATGGCAATCTTAATTGTCTCTACTGGACACTTGTTTCCTAGCTTCCCCTGTGGCCAGCTGTGGCTATGTGACTTGAGTTCTGGCCAGTGAGATGCAAAGACAAGTATGTTGGGAAGCAGGGGCTCTGGGAAAACATTTGCATCCTTAGGATCAGGCAAGAGAAGAGGGCTTGTTGGAATTGCTCCCTTTCTTTCTTCCTGACTGTCGGCCATCTGGTGAAGAGCTAGATCACAGAGCTGAAAGACAGAGCTGGGATCTGTGATGATATTAAACTGTAGAATTAACCTTGTTACCTCCAGACTTCTTATTGAGAACAATAATAAATATACTTTTGATACAAGCAACTGTTACTGTGCTTTCTCTAATTGCAGTTGAAAGCACTCCTATGTGATAGAGGTAGGTGCTATTGTTTTCTCCAGTATTTTTTTTTTCTCCATTGTATATGGATAAGGAAACTGAGGAATGGAGAGACTAAATAACTTGTCCAAAATCACACACCTAGTAATGAGTAAACAAGACTTTGAATTTAGGCATTTTGGCTCCAAAAGCTACTCTGACAAAGAGTAGGAAACCTAAAAAGGATAACAAGAAATATACAGTGATGACTGAGTACAGATTTTGTCTCAAAGGGACATGGTGGAAATGCTAACCAGAATTGCTTTACAGACTGAGTACATTCAGTTAAGGGCCAAACAGACCAAATGGAGCAATGATATTTAAGGACACTGATATTTTAGATTATACAATACAAATTATAACACACAATGATAAATAACACTGAGACAGCAAGAAAAGGTCACTTATGAAATAATTTTTAGAAATATTTATGTCAGTAACTGCTAAAAGGCTTAGGATTTGAATGATTAGCTTTCAATTATTTGTAAACTTAAAATTGCATGACACACCTGTGATCTGTTGCTTATGAGACTCTGCTAACCCAGAACACCTCTGTCTTTCTCCTTGACATCTTCATATTTCCTGTGACACTTAACACTCATTGGCTGAAGCAACAGTTCGTGGAGTAAGCAGTCTCTGAGTACAGTCCTTAAAAGCTTTAGCCCTGAGCTTTAGGAGACCTTGAATATTCCTGGCAGCTGAAAAATGTGACAGCGAAATGGCTTCTAGGGGAAAGGGAGGTGGCTCAGGAACAGTTGGGGTTAAAGATTTTACCCAGAGGCAACTGTTCATAATGGACAGAACTCTCCCTCTTGGCTTCCTCCCTCCCCTACATGTGTGACCTTACCTTAACCCACAAGGCCTAAGCAATGACGAAAAGGTACAACAAGAAGAACATTATCCAACATTGCTTCATACTGAGCTCTGGCCACCAATTTATTTCACCTAAATAAATACTGATAAATGACTAATGATTCAGTGTGCCACCATGTCTCAGGGTTGATTCTTATATAATTCTTATATCCCACTTTCATGTTCCCTATTCCCTTCCCATGAAGTTTCCAACACATTCAAGTTCTAGAATTTTATAGCTGTGACTTCAGAAATCATTTTATTCTATTTAACAGCTTTGAAATTTTAGGCTGAGAACAGTTTTAATTGTTCTCTACTTTCATGAATGAGTATCCTGTTTTCCCAACTAGATTTTTAAGATCTTATTTTATTTTTTAAATTTCAGAATATTAAGGGGAGTACAACTGTTTTGGTTACATGAATTGCTTTTGTACTACTTGAGTCAAAGTTATAAATGTGCCCATCACTCAGATAGTGTACATTGTACCTGTTAGGGTATGATTTCACCTATTGAGAGTTCACCTATTGAGATTCTAAGATCTTTGAAAACAGAAACTATTCTTTGCTTCATGGTGTCAAGCATGGTTCTGAGAAAACACTGGGTACACCAAGTATATTCAGTTGGTACCTTCCCATGCCAAACACAGGGATTAATGAGCCTTCATGATTACAAAATAAGTGAATAACAGTATCAGCTGGGCATGGTGGCATGGGCCTGTAATCCCAGCCTTGGGGAGAATTGCTTGAGCCCAGGAATTTGAGGCTGTAGTAAACCAAGATCTTGCCACTGCACTCTAGCCTGGATGACAGAGAGAGACTCCATCTTTTAAAAATAATAAAAAAAAAAGAACAGTATCAAACAATGTGTGTGTTATTTGTTATATACATGGGTCCACACAACTGATCTGCTTGAGTTTTTCGCTTACTCTTTTTAAAAACTCATTGATGAGTAAGACAAAGCCTTTGTCAGTCCCCAAACTTCTGAGCCTCCTACTCAAATACTTAGAGAGCAAAAACTTCTCTAATTCAGTGACCTGAATTTAAGAAAGTAAGACCTTGTTATAATTGCAGCAGGAGGGATCTGGTCTATTCTTCCTCTGGTTAATCATAAGACAGTCCAGGAAACTCTAATTCAAGGATGATCAAATATTGGCAAGACAGATTAAACATAGATTTTGGAGTCAGAAAAACTTGAGCAAGTCTTTTAACCCCTCCAAGTCCTGTTTGTGCCTAAGCTGGATGTGGTATGTGCCTCTGATGATTGCTGTTAAGATTAAATAAGAAAATGGGTACAAAATGGCTAACCTTATTAGTTCTCAATAATGTCTATTTTATTTCATGGTGGCCTTTCATGTCTAACCATGAAATGAGGCTGAGCTAAACATTATGTGCTAGGAAGAAACTGCAAAACTCTGATAACCGTAGAGCTTTATTTTCTCAGCCAAGCACCAGGCAATCATGCTGGGAGCATTAGAGCATGACGGATGGCCTCGGTGGCATTTGATTATTTATCAATTGATACAGGTAGAAAACTGAATTTGATTAACTGGTACAACTGAAAAATTGAATTTAGATAGGCACACTGGCATAACGTCTACTCCACACATATTCTGTGTGTGGTGCTTCTCTGATGCTCATTCTATTTGATATAGTCTACGTTTTGATAATGCCAGTTAAAGAAAGAAATTAGCTGAAAAATCAGCAATAAGAAGTGAATGAAGGACCTTTAAGAAACAAACCTGTCTTGCAAAGGAAAAGGAGAGGCTGAGAGTCTCCATCTTACGGGAAAAGGACACTTTTCTTCCCTCTACTTCACAGCGGGAGCTGATGGAGCAATTTATCCTCCTTACAGAGGGAACCGAGTTTGCAGCAGGCAGCACAAATCTATCTGCTCTCTCACTGTTCTGCAGCCTGTTTCCCACTCCCTGGGGCTGTTCTAGTAGCTTGAGGTCATTTCCCCAACACACATTAAAGCAGTGTTTCTGCACCTTAAAAAATAAACCTTTGTGCCTTTTTATAAATGTAAAACATCCAAATCAACCCCTGGAGATTGTGATACACTGAAACAGACTTCATCTTCTTTATGTCCTCACTCCCTAAAAAAGAGTTTACTGAGCTCTACTTTCTGCAGTTTACACTGAGGAATGTATATATAGGTTCTTTTTGCATTTTCTAAATATTCAATTTTATTTTTAAATGAGTGGGCTTTTTAAAACTACATATATTCCCACCTTTGCAAATCTCTCTACAGTCACTGAACTAAAATGACTAAAATGCAGTTTTGATTTGTGCCCTTCTGGGCCTGGTGTGAAGTAGAATAACAGCAACAAAAAAAATAATGGAAGCACAGCATTTCCTGTGTTCCTGTTACAGAGGCACTACTGAAGTCCAGCGCTGTTAATGGCGCTGAGCAAGTGCAGTCCTCATAGTCTAGACAGGAGGCCAGCCAGTCCAACAATGAGGAAGCAATAGTCAACGCAACAGTGACCTAGCTCATGTTTCATGATCTTCTGTGGACAGGAGACATAGTGCTGAGCACTTCACATGGCCTATCTCAATTAATCCTCACAACCATCTTATGAAGTTCTTGATGAGGAAGCCAAGGCTTAGAGCTAGTAAAAATCATTTCCTAAATCACAAAGCTCTTAAGTTCCCATGTTTAATTCCACAGCCGGACTTCTTAGCTGGAGAAGTATTCTGCTTGGGTATGAATAAAATACAATCAATCACTGGGAGGAAAAGCAAAGCACCCAGGGACATGAAGTATGTGTTTATACACAGACATACACTTCTACACGCCAAAATGCTTTCTCAAAGCAGTATTTGAAAAGCATTATGAAATACACTTTATTTTTCCTCCTTTTATTTCATTATATTATGGAGGTACAAATATTGTTGGGGTTATATATATTGCCCCTGCCACCCCTCCTCCCCTCTGTGCCAGCGTTTCAAGCATGTCCAACCCCCAGTTGGTGCACACCACACCATTATGTAAGTATGTAAGCTTAAACAAGCTCCCAAGGTAGGGTTAGATTTGGGTGTGGAAGTTTTCTAAAAGCAAGTGACTTTGGGGTTGAGCTCTGGACTTGGGGCAGAGCAGGGGTTGGCAGAGACCTGCAACTGGGTACACAGTTCTGGGGGGAGGGGGGAATAGCCACGTCTAAGGCACGGAGGTAGGAATGAACAAGTTATGCTGGAAAGTTTAGCTGTGCAGAACTGAGGCAAAGTGCCCAGGTGTGGGAGAACAAATGATAGCAATGATATGGATTCCTGGGTCTGTTCGTAGGATAGACATAGAGTCAGGACAAATATGTAGCATTTGATAAGATACTCACTGGAGAGTTGCTGCAGATTCCTGATTAAGGAAATTCTATGATACTTGTTTCTGGAAAATTATTCTACTATAGCAGCTGTTTATTGGACTGGTTGGTGTGGAAAAACTAAAAATGAGGTATAGTTAGCATATTTAATAGACTGAGATAAGAGCTACTGCTGCCTTTTTTTTTTTCAAATGACCATAGCCTGAAATCATGACTTCAGAGGTCCCTGCAATTTTAAAATAGCTGAAATGGTCATTAGGACATCAGGCATGCAGCCAAGGGAGCAATCAAAGCTAGATGACCTAGAGTTGGGGCCTCATCTACCAGAGCTGATTTAAATCAGAGTGCAGGCTGCCCGGATACAGAAAAAGGAGTTTCAGTCTATTTGGAATTCAACCTCCTCTTCTCCTTCACGTTGTTCTCCCCATTTTATTTTGCTTGTGCCCATAAAGGTCAATTTGACACAGGGCTCAAGGATTAGAGAGAAAACATCCAGTTAAAGGCTGCACAAACGCGACCACCCAGAGGGCTGGGACCCCACATGAGGAGTCTCGGATGTCTGTCTTGCAGACCCCCAGCCTCATCTACAGTGGGAAATGCCTCCTCCCCGCCCCAAAACTGGCTAAGGCCAAGGGTGGTGTGTAGGAGCACTCACCGCAAGCATCCACTTTGGGAGGAAGCGCTTTCCACGTAGTGCTTCAGAGCAAGTTGGAATTCTTCCAGATCCTCTTCTATCACGGACATCTGGCGCTGCACAAGCATGATGTGCTGCCAAGGAAGGAGCAAGGGTCACTGCGCTGGCTGTCACAGAGCCTCCTTTCAGCCAACCCCTATTGCCCGTCCCGTCTCTCCTCATAAAGCAAATGATTACCATCTAACAATGTGACCAAGAAAGGCCAGGACTATGCCAAGTATAAAACTGTATAAAGGCTGTAATACAGGCAGGGTATTTTTTCTCACCTCTAGTGACAGGAGCTAAACAAAGTGTCCCTTACGATGACGTATTTCTTTTTTTAAACCACTGATTTTCGATTAGCATCACTGAGGAAGTTTTAAAATTACATGGATGTTAGGATCTCTGGGAATGAGATATAGGCATTGGTAATTTTTAAAACCTCCCTAATTGTCTCTAATGTGCAGCCAGGTCTGTGATCGCTGCCCTAGAGTCATTTGCCAAATTTTAAAGAGAAGTCCTGTTGCATACTGCACAGCTACAGCTTCTCCTTGGATATTTTGTGGTATTAGACATATGTGACAATCATTACAGTTAAACTTCCAAAACTATGTGTTCACTGATTAATTTCCAAAGTTGCATCAGCTATTACAGGGTTCTCAAACATATTAGCAATTACAACAGGCTATGTTCAAAATGCCATGGCATTAGATGGAGCCTGTGTTTAATGGATCTCACTGGGTTGGACGCCAACTGCCTCTTGTGACAAATCCTATTAGCATTAGAGCAATTCTAGTTTGAAACTTCCCTAAAGACCTGCCTATGTGCTTCTCATGGAATTTTAGGTTGCATTAGTCCTTTCCTCTTCTTCAAGGATTGGGAGTGAAATATAAAAGTGCAAATAAAAGTAAGGCTTGATCTGAATCTTGAAAGTGCAAAACACAACAATGTGAGGATGATTGAGATATGAGAAAATAACTTCCACAATATTACCAGCGATGTAGCATAAGAGCTAGAATTAAACCCCTGGTTTACTGTCTCCTATTCCAATGAGTTTCTCACTGCATGTGAATAGCTACTATTTGTTGAACACGATTACACTGTAGGGACTATGTTAGGCATTCAATATATTCAACAAATGTTCCTACTTTGTGCCAGGTAGAGGCGAGGTTCTGGATATAATGTAATGGATCAAGATAGAATTCTCATCTTCATAGGGCCTAGTAAATAAATCAGTAAGCCTTGAAAATAATCTTGGCTGAGGATATTAGGTGTGGTTACTGGCACATGAAATGGACTCTGTGTAAATTCATCAAAAGTCTACTAAATTTCTAAGGGAACAGTATTGCCAAAGAAATCTTGATCCCAGTCTTAAAATCTTTTGATAGTTTAAGCCTTAAAATAGTATTTGGGCCCACCCAACTGTATGAGTAAGAAACAGGCTATAATTACTGTGTGATCCCCCAAAAGAATGGCTGTTTCAGATGTAGTCATGGCAAACAACGGACCAAGAAGAATCTTTCAAAAGAACAATGGTCAGCAGGGTTTCTCCCAAAATAGAGATCCAGTGTCTAATCACAGAACTTCCTTCACTGATAATTATCTTCCCAACATGAATTCATCACTGCAATCGACCAGTGAATACTGTGTGTTTCCCATTCATCCCTTTTGAGACGGAGTCTCGCTTTGTTGCCTAGGCTAGAGTTTTTGAGACGGAGTCTCGCTTTGTTGCCTAGGCTAGAGTGAGTGCCGTGGCATCAGCCTAGCTCACAGCAACCTCAAACTCCTGGGCTCCAGCAATCCTTCTGCCTCAGCCTCCTGATTAGCTGGGATTACAGGCATGCACCACTATGCCCGGCTAATTTTTTCTATATATATATTAGTTGGCCAATTAATTTCTTTCTATTTTTAGTAGAGACAGGGTCTCGCTCTTGCTCAGGCTGGTTTCGAACTCCTGACCTCGAGCAATCCGCCCGCCTCGGCCTCCTAGAGAGCTAGGATTACAGGCGTGAGCCACTGCGCCCGGCCATCCCTTTTCTGAATGGCAGTTTTTATGGCATTTTTCCTGGCCCAGTCTTATCATTGTATATTTTATTTGTGTGTGTGTATGTGTGTGTGCACATGCGCACATGCACTTGTGTCAGCGGGGTAGGGGAGATGACTTACCTTGATCTTCATAAGTTTGTCAGACCCCAAGGGACTACATCCTGACCTTATAGAGAACTCTGAACATCCTGCAGCGATCCTAGATTTTGAGCTAGAAGCAGTAACTGGAAGAAACTTTGGGGGGTGTCCCTCACAGAGGGGTCTGTGTGTGTGTTCTATATGTGGAACGGAAGACGCATATGAATATCTGTTGGCCAGAAGGTGGACTGTGGCAGAAACTCCAAGTTGTTCATTCCTCTTCTCTCCAGATACACAGCTAGACCCCGTAACCCATCCTCCCTTGCAGTTTGGTGTAACCAATTGCTGAGTTCTCACCAACAGTGCATGAGCAGAAGTAACATGTGTCATTTTTGAGCCAAGACTTTTAAGGAAGATGTAAGCCTCCTCCACGTTCTCTTGCCCTTTTCTTCCCTAAGGGATGAAGATCTCCCCCAAGGAGTGGCAGAACCACAGATGAGAGGACCTTGCATAGCTGAACCATTGTGTGGACTCTTTACTGGGCAAGAAACCAGCTTTTATTGTATTGGGACCTTTCTATACTTTGGATCTATTTGTTTCCATAGTGTAGCCACTGTAATGAGTTCAATTTTAATTAAGCTTTGTGTTTTATTTCCTCTCAGGATCAGCCTGAAAGCTTACTGAAATCTGAGATCCCAAGTTGTAAATAGTTACCCCAGAGCATTCTTTTATGGTGCTATATTTTTGTTTCTTTGCTGTAGAAGGTGTAGTATAGCCTTTGTCATTCACCTTCTGGGAATTTTGTTACAATGGAACTATGGTGGAATATTTGGAATTTATTGATCTGAAAAGTGCTATGTATGAAGAGTCAATTTGAGTTTACAGAGCAGTATTTGCCAGTGACTTTAGGCTGTAGTTGTATCTGTCTTTGATTTCTTGGAACATTTGAAGAAATGTCGGCTTTTTTAATATTAGAAAACAGAGACATGTTTTAAATTTAACTTACTTTTTCCTGTTATCTGGCTGTATTTACTATTGTTACCATTGTGTTCCAAGTTTGTCTTCAGGGATATCATAGCCTTTCTCATGTGCTCTCACTGACTCTCTAAATAGCCATTGCAAAGCAAGACTGTGTTTTAATACTTCGTGACATATTAACTGTCGATAGCCCCAAACCCTTAAGAATGTTTGGCAGAATTAATTTACTTCACAAAACATTATGCATAGGTTTGATATATGGGGGTTAAGAGACAGAAAAAGGTATTAGATTTGTAGACTTCTATTGTTTAAGCCATTTTAGTATACACAACAATGTGCTGAAGAAGAGTTGGAGTTTTTGAAAAGCACAAGAATGTGCTCGAGTCTTTTTAAAAAATTATCATGACTTTTTAAAAACTCCTTTTGCAACCAGATAAGATCCTGTATAGCAAAAGCAATCTTGAGCAAAAAGAACAAATTGAGAGGCATCAATTTACCAGGCTTCAAGCTATACTACAAGGCTATAGTAACTAAAATACTATGGTACTAGCACAAAAGCAGAGACATAGACCAATGAACAAAACTGAGAACTCAGATATAAAACCATCTTCATATAGCCATCTAATCTTTGGCAAAGCAGACAAAAACATACACTGGAGAAAAGAATCCTTATTCAATAAATGGTGCTAGGAAAATTGGATAGCCACATGTAGAAGACTGAAACCCGATGCACACCTCTCACCTTCCACAAAAATCAACTCGCAGTGGATAACAGAGTTAAACCTAAGGCATGAAACTATAAGAATTCTAGAAGAAAATGTTGGAAAAACTCTTATAGACATTGGCCTGGGGAAAAATTTTATGAAGACGACTCCAAAGGCAATCACAGCAACAACATATATAAACAAATTGGACCTGATCAAATTAAAAAGCACAGCCAAGCACAGCCAAGGAACTATCACAAGAGCAAACACTCTACAGAATGAGAGAAAATATTTGTATGCTACACATCCGATAACTAGAATCTATATAGAGCTTAGAAAAATCAGCAAGGAAAAAAATTAAACAACCCCATTAAAAAGCGGCAAAGGATATGAAGAGAAACCTTTCAAAAGAAGATAGACTAATGGCCAAACATGAAAAAATGCTCAACATCTCTCATCATCAGGGAAACACAAATCAAAATCACATTAGATATCACTTATCTCCAGTGAGAATGGCTTTTATCAAAAAGTCGCAAAACAAATGTTGGTGTGGATGCAGAGAGATATGAACACTCATAGATTGCTGGTGGGAATCTGTAAACTAGTACAACCTCTGTGGAAAGTAATATGGAGATACCTCGAAGAGCTACAAGTAGAACTATCATTTGATCCAGCAATCCCATCACTGGGCATCTACCCAAGAAAAAAAAAAGATATTCTATAAAAAGGACATCTGCACTCTAATGTTTATAACAGCACAATTCACAATTGCAAAGATGTGGAAACAACCCAAGTGCACATCAATACATGAATGGATTAATAAAATGTGTTATATGTATACCATGGAGTTCTACTCAGCTACAAAAAACAATGGTGATCTAGCACTTCTTGTATTATCCTGTGTAGAGCTGGAGCCCATTCTACTAAGTGAAGTATCACAAAAATGGCAAAAAATAAGCACCATATGTACTCACCATCAAATTGGTATTAATTGATCAACACGTATGTATGCATATAGTAGTACATTTAGGTGTTGGGCAAGTGGGAGAGGGGAGGAGAGGATGGGTATATTTACACATAAGGGGTGCAGAGTGTACTGTCTGGGTGATGGACAGGCTTGAAGCTCTGCCTCAGGTGGAGCAAAGGCAATATACATAACCTAAACATTTGTACCCTCATAATATACTGAAATTAAAAAAAAAACTCCTTTTGAATGAAGGAAATATCTAGAAAGTGATCATCCTATTCCAATAGTCATTTAATAAGAAGTTCCAAAGGCACACAATGGAACCAGCAAAAAGGATGCAGGTGGATCAATACACTTGGCCAAACCCAGGGTGTGTGGTCTGGTTGGAGTGATTCCTTTCAAAAATCACATTGACCTTTCTATGATTCATACCCACTGCTGGGTATCTGACAGCTAGATAACAATAAATTATCTCCAAATTTTCAATGAGTCATAAAAGTCATGGTCTTGGACATTAGATTAGGATTTGTCCCTGATGTATCTTTATTTCCTATTTTCCTATAGCAAGAATAAAATTATGAATTGTGGAGTTGCTATATTTACAATGTACTTGTTATAAATCATTTGGAATGTTTTAATATTTCCATGTAGCACCTTTTAGTGCTTTTAGTGCAATATTAGAACAATAGAGTAAGAGATACATAAATATTATTTTTTTAACTCCTACTTATTCTTTCTGGTTTTATCTTAAATATTATGACATTCTGGAAGCATGTCTTAATCCCCTAGATTGTGTCCCCTTGTTGTGTAAACCTATACTTTCCTATATTAATCCTCATCACAGTCTCTGTTTAATTTTCTTCTAGTCTGCTTCTAGCCTGTGATAGTCCCTGCTTCATTTCCAGAACTTCTCTCCAGGCCTGGTGTATGGTTGGTGGTCAAGTTATTTGTGGAATAAACATGTTAAAGATGTTCTTTCTCTTTAGCTATTTACTATTCTTAGATTTAATGAATTTTATTTATTTATTCATTCCCGAAGAGGATTTGAGGTGGCCTTGAGCACTCAAGAGCACTGCACATGTGTTAGGGTCTCCTTTATCTGTCTCTATCACCTTGTCCTCTATTTCTTTTCTTCTTTCTCCTTCAAGAGCACGGGGTATCAGTTAAAAAAAAATTAGCTTCACTTCTACTAATTATGTGGACTTGTTACTTAATCTTTTTCTTTTAATAAGTCTTCTGATAAAATTGAGCTGATGGTACTTATATCACAGGATTTGGGGCAGGATTAAATAAAATAATGTATATAAAGTATATATAAAGTCTATGATGGGTACTAAATAAATGTTACTTCTCATACTCTGGGCTGAGAAAAAAAAAAAGTGGACTTAAAAAAAGAAATCGTATCCTAGACTCACATTATGTAATGGCTCATTGCCCAGAAAACTAGACATGGCAGTTGGTAGGGTTCAGGACTTTAGCTGTGTGCTTAAACAAGCCTACCAGATAATCTGCTCTGCTGTCATGGTAGAAAATCTCAAGAAATAATCATGCATTAGTCCACAACCTTGCTAGCAAAGAGCAGCTCTACTTTAGGGGCCAGCTTTCCCCTAAACACTAGGGCTGGAAATGAACGTTAGAGTGCAGTAATGAGCACAGGTCTGGGTGGGGCTGCAGGGGTTCAGCTATGGTAAACTTCTCTAAACCTCAATTTCTTCATCTGTAGAATAAGGACAGCACCACCTCATTCAGCTATTGTGAGGATTTAGTGAGCTATTTATGTGTGTGTTTAGCACAACACTTGGCACTTAGCAAAGGCTCAGTAAAAATCCGTATTTAAAAAATCAAGTGTAATACAAATTTAGTCTTCACTTTCTGATGTGGAATTTATTTTTCAAAGTTCTTATGCATTCAGTTATGGACAAGGAAAATGACCTCTCTAGTCGATAAATTATAAAATGGTTTTGGGCACCAGGATAAATCATTAAGCACATAGTAGGATGTAATTATGAGCACTAGCTGTGAAATAACAGGAGAAAAATGGTTTTGACCATTCTGAATAGGAGGTTTTATAGGAATTATAGTAATGCATGTACTGCCACTAATGAAAAACTACAATTTTTAATGACAAATATCTTATTGGTATCTTTGAAAAAACAAACCGGTTCAAATCATTACTATATGCCTACTCCCAAAGAGCATAATTATTTTACCTCTACATATGGTTGAAAATAGTTAAGGAACATCCTTTCTTGCTTTTAAGCAAGATTGACAACTGAAACACCTTGCCCAATCTTATTTTTTTATGCACTATTGAATTAGTAATGTTGTATATGTGGATCTTTTAAAATTGGCAGTGGCATTGGGTATTCGGGGACCAGCTAATGGAATAGCTGTCAGCTTTCACAAAGAATCCTTAGACAATGTTTTTCCCTCATAGCTAGAGAGAGAAAATAGCCTTACATGAGAAAATTATGTAAGAATAAACAATGTGTCTCACACAACATTAGGAAAGTTATGTTCAGTTTTTTTTCACTGCAGTGTAGTTTCTCCTACATGCAAACCTATGGGACAATAATAGACACCTGATCACAAGGTTAGCCATTCCCGTGCCTATGGGACTGCACAAACCTGCTGTTCCTAATACGTGTGCTCAATACCCCTCTCTTCTCACTTCCCACCAACATCTACCACTTTACATTTCTAGGTTCCTGATGAATTAACACAGACCACAATCTTGTCTTTGGAGGGATAAAAGCACTAAACATGTAGTGAAAGACATAGTTTATATCAAGGCAAAGTATGCATTAAGTATAGGCTTCTGATAATTGTAGCCATTATTAATTTTTCTGAGATTCCCCCGAGGCTTCCTCTGAAGATTCACTTTGTGCTATGAGTTTGGACAGATGGGCAGAAGCCTGGTACACAGGTGGGTCTCACCTTTTCTATCACGTAATCAGTGCCTGTGGAGTGAGTGCATGATTCAGAAAGGAATGATATTTCCTACCTTTGTGTCGTGTAAATGTGACTGATCCTTCCACATCTATAAAGTATATAATACATTATTAAGTTATCAAGAAAAAGGCGATTTTCTGTAGGACCCAAGATTTTAAAAGCCAAATTTCCACTAAATGCAAATATAAACATCCAATTTCCTAAAATAAAATGTGCCATAAGTATCTGCCTTGAAATAAAGTAAAATAACAAAACATGGTATGTGTTGCCTTTCAATATTAATTTCTTTTTGTTTTATCTTCATGTACCTATTAGGATCACTTTTCCATTTTCTTTTAGTTTCTGTAAATTGTCACCACTCTGGATAGACATCGTTTCCCTAGGGATATAAATGTTCCCTTTTCTCTAAACATCAATTTATTCCTCGAAAAATTATTTCTGAGCATTCACAATGTTCCTGGCCCTAGGCTAAATGCTGTAAATACAAAATGAATAGAACCAGGTTTCAGCTCAGGTATATACAGTTCTCCACATAGCAGGTTTTACAAAATGTGTTTATGATACAATTTGAATGTTCCCTTCTCTGCCAGTCATATTCATTCAATTAGATGATAACGTGCTGATTTATACATGCATAAAATCTTCATTTTGCACCTATTACATGCCAGGTGCTTTCACAAAAACCCTGTGAAATAGGTATTAGGTTTACACAAATCACGATTTAGAAAACACTACTTAAGCCATTGAAAATGAAATATGTCTACTTATATTTTTAACTTTTCATGAAGACAGCAACTAATCTTTGAAGAAATTAAATCATGTTTTCAAAAAATATATTTCTAAAACTTTGACATGGAAAAAGTACTTACAGATTTAGTATTCCCTTCAATAACTTCTTCTTCCAATGGTTCAAGTTTCAGATCCTTCAATTAGAGGAAATGGCAGAAAAACCCAGAAATTAGATAATTTTTTAAAAACTCCAGATATTCAAATCATAATTCTTTCATGGCTAATATATATATATATATATGTATATATCTTTAGAGACAGGGTCTCATTATGTTGCCAAGGTTGGTCTTAAATTCCTGGCCTCAACGGCATCCTCCTTCCTTGGCTTCCCAGAGTACTGGGACTACAGGCGTGATTCACAGGCCTGGCCTTTCATGGCTAATGTTGAATCAACCTAATTATCTTAAAGAAGATGAAATCACTCTGATTTTTAAAAATTGAGCTATTCCAATAAAGACCCTTTGTATCTATTTATTAATTACAAGGAGCTATTTCAGATGTGTTCAATTTGTTATTGCTTTAAAGTTTCCTTCACTGATGCTGTTAGAGAGCAAATTGGAGGACAGGGAAATGTTAAAATAGAAAGGGTAGGAAGGTAAAAAGAAAAAAGAAGGTTAGAATGATTAAGCCTAACAGTCTGATTTATTTTGCTGTGAGTATTGTCACATTTTCTACATTTTTTGGGGAGATTATTATAAACATTAGTCTACTGTTATAATACATTTGTATCCTAGCACTAATTTATTAGTGATTTATTAGATAGAAAGTGAATTAAAAAGTAAATGAAAATACTATTGATATTCACTAAAAATGGAGGATTGCTCTAAAGACCTTAGACTCTTCTTTGATGACCAAAAGATAACATTAACGTCCCCAGTGAAACCAAGTGTGTAATCTCTGACAATTTCATTTGGTGAACATACATCCTAGCATTTCTTCCAACTGTGGATTATGCACAATTCCTCAAATGGATAAGAAATAAATCGAAAGCTATAGAAATCCAGCCTGTTAATAATAGAGCTGTATTGCACTAGCTATACTGTTATCTCGTCATGCAACTTTACGCAAGTTATTTAACTTCTGTGGGATTTACTTTTACTGCTCGCTCTGCCTTAAATTCTTTATCCTTAGGTCTTCGTCTACCTGGCTTCTTCTCATCTCTCACATCTCAATTCAAATATCACCTGTTTCGGGAGACTTTCCCAACCCACTTCCTTTGAGTATTCAACACCACCTCCAATCTCTATCATATTGCCCTACTTCTTCTTTATAGCACTTTCCATGATCTGAAATGATCTTATTTCATGGATTTGTTTACATGGCTTTTGTCTGTCTCTCTAGATACCAAGGATGTTACCTATTTTGATCACTATTGTATTGCCACTGCCAGAATAGGACACATAGAAGCTACTCAATACATGTTGAATAAATGAACAGCTGAATGAGTGCCCCATCTAAATCATAATGTTTCCATGAAGGCAAAAATTATATAGAATGCATACAGATATGAATTGAAAATTAAAAAAGTGCTCTACCCATAGTAACTGTTACATAGTAATCTCCTTGACTGCTATTTTTCTGATACCAACTCAGGTATACTTTTCAGTTCTCTCTTTCCTGATCTAAGGTAAGAAAAACTTAAAACAAGTTGTATGAGTGTGACATCCTTAATTATATCCCTTGCACTGAGAATGTCCTGTGATGTGATGATACATTGAGGACTTCACGAAGAACGAAAAGGCTTTTTTTTTTGTTCTGTTGTTCTGTTTAACATGAAAGGTGTTTTCTGCAGGATCAAGCAAAACATAAGATAAAAGCTCAGGATGTGCCCATAAATACTCATGAAAGCTGGAATGGATAGAAGGAACACCTGAAGAAACTTGCAAAAATTGCAAGTGTTATTTTTCCCCCCACATGAATAGAATCAGTTTTCAGTGCAGGAAGGATTTATCATAAATACTTAATGGAGAAAAAAGATAACATATGTTCCACCACAGGTTCACTTCCTTTCAATGGGGAGATCAAGCCTAGTGTTAACAACTACAGGAGACAAAGTAGTCAGCAGTGAAATGACATGCACTTAGTCACTGTTTGGCAATTGGGTAGTTTTTCTCTAAAAACCTAATTCAGCGCAATACAGAAGAAGTTGTAGAAGAAAACTGAACTTGCACTGCTTCTCCATTCATTAAGATAGCTCATGCTGAGCTCCACGCAGCTGGAGACTCTCTGCTGCAAACCATCAGATTATACTTTCAGCAAACCTCAAAATGAAGCCCTTTCATAGGAGGGAGGGAGAAAAAAGTCTAGGAAAGAAAGATATGTGCCAGTACTTTGATTTAAAGTTGGAAAAAAGGTATGGCCTAAGTTTGAACCATTCCTTTAAAAATAACTACATAGATTTCAGATACTAAATAACATTTTGTCCAGAACTTCAAAACCACTTGAAAAAGAGATATTTGTGTTCTTTAAAAATGAATCCAAACATATCTAATAATCAAATCCTTATGTTTAACAAGCTGTAGTTTGCAAACAGGAGTCCTGCATTTCCATAGCTTCCAACATTGGAAAACTAATTTTCATAGTCACTATTTTTCCTATGAATCTTTTTAGTCTGAGCTCACATATCAATTAATAAAATAAGAAAGGAGGACAGTTGATTTGCAGCAAGTTCATAGTTTTGGTATTGGCTCTATTATATAGTAAGTGATCAATGCAGATTTAATAAATGAAGACAGGATGGCAAAGGAACTGGAACTCTCCAAGGTTGTTTCTCCTTAACTTGTTTCTTCTTTTACAGAATCTCCTTTCCAGAGACCTGCCCCATGTTCAGGATTTGAGGTTCATCTTTGTGGACATGGCTTTTAAGATCTTAACCTGTTGGCCTGACTTCTTTCCTACTAACATCTGACTGGGGATTTCTGCCCAAGTGTCCTATTGTACCTTGAAATGAACACATCTGAACACCCAGTTCACCTTCTCACCTCACCTCACCAACTATCTGTCACTTGTTTCTCCCTTGTCTGTTAATGGTATAACCAACACAGAGAGGCTTGTCAAGTCCTCAGACTGTCATTGCAGTTCTTCCTGTCCTTTGCCCACCTCACCCATCCAATGATGCTGTTAATTTCACTTCATGTCTTTCAAATCTGCCATTTTCTTCTCACTCACTACGTTGGTCCAGGCCCATCTTTTGCCATACCTGATCCCCGTGGGTTCAGGGGCACAGATCTGCTCTGCCTGAGTTGGTTTTTTTTTTTTTCTTGTGTTAATCTATTTTGCATTTATTTTAATTTACTTTGCATCTTGCTGTTCAATTTTGTCTCTGAAGGATCTTTTTGGTTTGTCATTCACCTGTTGAAAAATAATAAATGCCTCCTGTGGTCCCCAAGACCAAGTCCAAATCCCTTAGCCTATTATTTAAAGCCAACCATGATCTGGCCTTCATCTGTCCACACAACCTTATTTGTCACTACATCCCTAAATGAAATTCCGTTAACCAGGCTGATCTACCTTTGTTCACACCATCACCTTCCTGAATGCCCTCTCCAGCTGCTCTCTGTTTACTGAAATTCTACTTCTCTATTGCAAATATCATTTTTTTTTATAAGTTAGCTGATTAGCATTTACACCAACTTCAATGATAATATATTTTCCTTTCAAGTTAGCATATAACCCTAAGGAGACCAACCAGGCTCTCTCTTCCAGGAAGTAGTATCTTGAGCAGAAACCAACAGGCTAGAAATGGTTGGAATTCATTTATTCCTGTGGAGGGAACCTGAGAGACTCTTACTATCTAGATCTATAGAGTTATCTTTCTCTTGACTTTTCCTGAATTTGGTTCTCTAGACTATCTGTTGATTCTGTGAGCCCTTCCATATCTTTCTAGAAAATTCTCCTTTTGATTAGAGAAGTGATTCATTGCATACAATCAAATTTTTAATTGAGTCACCATTTTTAAGGTCTCTCTTAAACTCTTCCTGTCACATTTAGTCATTCCTGAGAACCCAGCTCACAGTGCTCATGTCCCTAGGTGAGTATCTACAGATTTTAGTACCTGCTCTGTTTCTTTAGCATGTCTCAGTCAGTCAGCCACTATTTACTGAGCAACTACTATGAACCTGGTTTTGTGTTACCATATATATTTTTTTAAAAAACAATCTGTTAACTCTCTCTGTCTCAGAAAAAAAACATAGCTTATTTTTATAGGTAGACTATGGATTCTTCAAAATCAGTGGCTCTGTCTCAAATATAAATGTTCCTTCCCTGGTGCCTGGCTTGGACAGAAAACACATTTTCTTACTGATTGACAAAGGTTGCCTCTACCATCAAAGTTGTTTAAAGGGAATATCACTACAATATCAGGACTACTTGGAACTAACTGAATTAATCAATAAAAACATAATAACTAGGAACGTAAAATATAATTCTTAAGGACTCTTCATCATATCCTAACTTGCTTGCTCGCTAGATAGTTTTAATATGAAAATAATCATTTAATACGCGAATTTCTAGAAGTTGAGTGTGGAATCTCATCTTTTAGTAGAGAGCACTGCCATTTTCCTGAATTAATTTGAAAGATTCCCAAGACTTCAACCAAGTCATACCTAAGAGCTGCCATTAGCATCATTCCAGCACACTGCCACTTGGGTTGCTTGATAACAGTAGAGCCAGGCAGTGCAGTAGATTTATTGAACTCTTAACCCCACATCCTATTTTAAATATAATTGGGGGTGGAAGGAGAATTGACGTGAGCTTCTATATTTGCTTTAACAACAACAGTAACAACAACAAAATCCCAAATAACTCCAAGCAACCATTTGTAGGATAACTGGGATCCTGGATGTCATTCTATCTTAGTGGCAGCCGTGGATATTGAGGCAATGCGTAATATTGGGTCAGAATATCTTGAAAAACAAGAGAGAGAATAAAGGAAAGGAAGCGCCCACCTTCTTTTCCAGTCTATCAATTAACTTCTGGAGTCTATTTATCTGGGTCATCCACTGGTTGTCTTCTTCTAATAAGCCTGGAGGGGGGATAAGAATTACAAGGGAACATATTAAACTTCAGACAGAATAGGGATGCTGGGTTATCTCAGAGCTTTCCATTTATCCTGAAGGAAGGATGCAGTGTCATTGACTAGTCAACACATTTTTTAAAATGTATTTTATATGAGCACTTTCTAAGTTATTGATTTCTGCAGATTCATGCATCCCAGTGGGTTCATTTCCATGGGCCTGTTTTTCATGTTGTTGCCTGTCTGGCCTTTGATATTCAAATGAAAAGATCCTGCTGAGCCATTTATAAAACCCTATAAGGCAGCTGGTTATCTTTTGAAAAAAGGAAAGCATCAATCAATAATTCTAAACTTACCTGTAGGGCAGTGGCAGGAGCCCAGCCATACCCCTGACCCCAGCAAGGTATAAATAGCTACAATTCAAAAGGGCATAAGAGCAAGACAGCTGGTATTTCCTTTTCCAGGAACTAACTTGAGTACACATGGACTCTTTAGACACGGTATAATGGTTAAGTGTGCAGACTAGAGCCTGTTGATCTATATTTGTATATATGATATATACACATGTGTATATATGCATGTAGGAGATCTGTATGCATGTGTATATATGTGTGTGTGTCTAGCACCAAGACAAACATCATATACATCATGCTATTATTGCTGTTGTTAATATTATATAAAGGCACAAAGGGAAGAGTTATGGTCTCAGCCCTTGCACAAACATCCTGGCATCTTTGTGTATCCTTTACTGTAGCTTACTCAAAATGTTTCCACAGTCATTTGCTGAAGTAATATTATTTAATGTTTCTTGAAACAGAGATCTGATTGAATTCAAGACTATAAAGCTTTAGTTTTGAATGCACCTCAATAAGACCTCAATTGTAAAGGGGTAGTGATGCACATAAGAATTCACTTTCCCATCTGCCTTCTTGGAGGAAGCGCCTCTCAAAGCCCACAAAATAAATTATGATGTAAAAATGAGCATTAGCTCTGCCACAAAGAAGTGGCTACAAAGGGGGTTGGGGGGGGAGAGAGATAGAAAAGAGGCCGAGGAAGATATTATAAATGTATAAATAAGTTCACATTTACTTTTTAATTCACAAATTCATTAACATATTTCTAATCTGGGCTGATCCCCAAAGGATGTAAGGTGGCTATCACATCAAAGTCCCTAGGAAGGCTATTTGGAACTAAGACTGTTTTCTAAATGGTTAAAATAGAAAGAACAATCTACATTTTGCCTCGGGAGCCTAGCATTGTCATTTTCTAGTCACATGTGGGGGACTGTATTATTGTTCCCAATTCTCCACTTTCCTCCTGCTATAGAAGTATATGTATGTATACTCTGTGTATACGTATATGTACTATGCCCACAACTTGGCACTACCTCCTACTATAAAGGGTGAGGTGTTATTTCTTTCCCCATTGTTACTGCGCTTGGCATGTGACCTGTTTGGCCAATGGGAAGTTAGCAGGCAGGATGCACACAGTGCATAAAACAGTGTTTTTTAATGTACTTGTGTAATTCTGATCTGGCTTCTTGGGCTTCTGACACTCACCAGGGGAAGAAAATGCTCCATTGTCACTTATCCCAGAAGAAGGCTGTGTGAGGAGAGCTGAACTTTACATACAGCCCAGAGCCTCGTCCAGCTGAAATTGCCCAACTCACAACCAGCCAGAGACTCACGAGAGAGAAAAACATATATTTGCAATTGTAACCACCAAGACTTGAAAGTTGTTTCACAATAAAAATGGAAATGGACTAATATTCCATGTGACCATGGACAAACCACTTAGTTTTCTGGATTTTGGTTTCCTCACCTGTGAAATGGGGAAATAGGGAAACTAACATCTATCTTACAAGGCGTTAGGATAAAAAAATAAGGCTCTATTTAAGAAAGGATTCTGAAACCTTTCAAGTACAGCTGGTACAAATATAGGATATAGTTAGTACTTTGATTTTCTGAATCTTAGATTTATAAAGATTCATTTGTGTTAGAACAACACGTTCAAGTAATATATGTGCATGTGTATATAATACGTATGCTTTGTAAAAATTACTCCAATATTTAGCAACATGAGTTTGCATATTTCAAATTGATTTCAAAATATTATGGTTATAAATGACACAGTTAAAATTTAATAACCTAACAATTATTAGTAAGGTTTAGCCCAATAAATCTTACATTACAAACTTCAAAAAAACCAGCTATGACTAATCCTATCACGGAAGCAAGGATGCTTTTTCCTAAGTGAATTTGGGGTATGCCTGAGGAGGTTGGGTGATCTAGAGTGTATTAGGGTATAGCCTAAAAAAAAAACCTGTTTGCTTCAAGATGACGGGGAGTTCTATAGAGCTCAAGTCTTTGGGTAGCAGCTAATGGAGCTACTTTCTTCCCAATTCACCATCTTTCTGTGTTCCGCCCCAGGCACAACTGCCAGGACTCTGCCGGTGCTGATGGACAGGACAACTGTCCAGTTCTCAACACCCTGCACTCTTCACTACTTCAGTTTCAAACTGATTTGGCATGAGGAAAGTGTTCTATTATTACTGTTGTCTTAGCTGCTGTCTGTTGAAACAATCCATTGGAAAATGCAAAATAAATTGACTTTGACGAAGAAAGACAATGAAGGCTGTGTTACCTGGGCCGCTGACATTAAACTGAGGGCTGTTAGGAGAAAAGCTGTTGTGTCTCTGGACTCTGCGGCTTGATCGTTTTCCAGGCCATTGAATCGACAGCACTTCTGGCTTGGTCGGCCCTTGCCTTGAACAACAGAGATAACATTTAACCTCAATTTCAGTGCTTCAGTCTCTTGCCTCCAGGAACAAATCTTCAAATGTCAGTCACAAAGGTTTTCTAGTGTAGTGAAATGAAAACTTACGAGAATGACTGTTTGCAAACATGCTCTAGAAACCCAAGGTAATTTGGTACTATCCTATCTGAACCGGAGGAAGAGAATTCTGAACTTACTTTGTTCTTAAAATTAAATAGTCTCAGTAAAAATTGTAATTTTAGAAAGACTTCTTTTTCCTTTGTTGGTCAATGAGCAGTAGAAAAAACATTTATGTGTATGCTGCTGTTGTATTTTGTTTAGCTTGAGGACACCTACGGAATTTTCTTTCTTTAATTCAGCTTTAAAAATTTTTTTTTTGACCAAAGCTATACATCATTATATTTTTAAAAGTCAAATAATTCTATAAATCTTATTTCAGCAAACAGGAGCTCCCTCCTCTTGCCCCCATGTTATACCCTCTCTCCCCTTTCATTAAAGACAATACTTTTTAGCAGGGGTTTGCTTTCATATCAGTATATAATTTGCTTAAATTGCTAACTCCTTATTTTTTAGTTTTAGGCTTTTAACTTTCCAATATGAAAAGCTCAGGCCAATGATATACACATGGAAATGTTATAAGGAACTCCCAGGAAGGCTGCTTACAAGAACAGATTCAACTAGGAGGAAACCCTTTTATCTTTCCTTATTCTTCTTTCCTGGTTAGAATGTGGACAGGATAGCTGGAACTCCAACAACCACCTTGGACCATGAGGCAAACTTGGGAGTGGAAGATTTGCTTAACATTTAATTAAGATGTGAGAAAGACAGAAAGTCTATGATAAATCTGTAAAGATGTCATACTTGAATTAAGCTGCTCCCCACCAGATTTCTTTACAGGAGATAATAAGCCCTTTTGTGTTTAAAGCACTATATTTTTTTTTCTGTGATAGGTAGTCACATCTAATACTAATATATTCATCCCAATATCTTTATTATCTGTCAGCTAGGGAAGATTCCTTTAGCTTTTCTCCTATGTTAGATTGCCTCCCCTTACTTTTATATTTCATTTTTGTTTTTAACTGACTCCTTTGTTTCGGTGGAAAATATCCCCTAATTGATTCTTAAGAAATAGTACTCGATAAGAGGTAAAATTCTTGAGATTTTGCATGTATAAACACCTATTTTGTTGGTGGCTTCATGGAGTAAAGAATTCTAAGTTGCAAATCATCTTGAACAAGTTGTTCCATTACATTGCAGCTCCCACAGGCACTACTGAGAAATCTAGTGTTTTCTTGATCCTTTGCACATGACCTGGTTTTCTGAGAATTTGTAGACACTTGCCTTTGTCTCCAGTGTTATGAAATTTCATAATAGCATGTCTTGGTGTTGGACTTTTAGTACTCATCATGATGGGCTCTTGGTCTGTTCTATCAAGCTGGAAACTCATGTCCTTGTTCTGAGAATTTTTCTTATTCATTTCATAATTTTTCTCCTTTCTTCTCCCTTTGGAATTGCTGTCTTACAAATATCAGACCTCTTGGACTGACCCTTTAGTTTTCTTATTATTTCTTTCCTTTTTTTTTTTTATCTCTTTGATGAGATTTCATCACACTTTTATATCTAAACTTGCCTCAGAGAATATCATTTTTGCTGCCATACTTATAATTTCCAAGACCTCTTATATGTGCTTTCAATATTTTTTTAAATAGCATTTTGTCCTTAATTCATAAATGCAATATCTTCTCTTAGATTTCAGAAGTTATTGATCATTTTATTTTTACAGGTTTTTTTTTCCTGCTGTCTGAATTATTTCTCTTTTTTTCTTGTGTTTGATTTTTGTTTGTTCATTTGTTTGACCCCACAAATTTTGGAGGGAGGAACCACAAGGCTGATCGGAACCTCTGTGTGGGGACTGCCAACTTGCAGCCTCTGCTGCAGAGTGGCCTGGCTCGCCCTATTTACTGGGGACCCTGACCATCAGCACTGATAAGTCTTTTCTCTTGGACTGATAAGATCCCTTAGAGGATATCCCAGCTGGAGGGTGTGAGCCCAGCGGTCCATATTTTAGGAGCAGAGTGTTTGAAGGGGATTAAACATCTCACTCTTCAATATGGAGACTTCACTTAACATTGTGTTTTTTAGTACTGGGCCCTGACCACCAGTTGTGCCCATCTCCAGAAAGCATACCTCTAGTTCTTCAAGGATTAGGTGGAGTTCTCAACAATATGTCAGCTCTACCTTCATCCTCACTAGCAGTTGCACATAGTGCAGCCAGTTCTTGAGCTTTGCAGAGGTTCTGTGATACCAACTGTATCACATCTTGGCTTCTTACACTGCCTGTGTAAGTTTCAGCTTTCTCAGAGCTTCCAAATCCATTACCGCTAGATTGACCTTCTTTCCAAATTTCAGGTTTGTGTCCCTTTGGCTCTTCTTCTATCCTTTTTATTTTGGGGGGGTTAATGTTTCCTTTTATCCAGGTACTTTGATTGTCATTTTTTAAGGGTTTTGTGAGAGTGCAAAAGAAATCATACATGTTTAATCTCCAATTGTTAACTAAATCTTCCTATGGATTTTGCTATGGCATAGAAAAGAAAAAAAAAAAAAACCCAAAACCCCAACTATCTAGAAGCTTTGGTGGTCACAGGAATAGGTGATTAGAACAGTCCTTCTCTATGTTCAAGCTAAGAGATCATAAGCTCTCTTTCATAATCATCTCTAGGTGAAATTAAAGCCTTTTCTTATTTCTATAATGGACAACTATCAAAAGGAAAAAAATAACTTTCAAGTCCAGAAGCAATCATTTATATCCCTGGATAGAGAATAATTTTGAAAAATAAAGCAAACTTGTAGATTCTATTATAAAAAAGGAAATCTGCATATAATTAACCATGTTCCCAGAAATCTAGTTTGTGAGGAAGAGGTTTATGTAAGAGGACAGGGGTCCTCTAGAAGGAAACTTCGGTATAACATAATGACTATTCTTGTCATTGGCTGTTTCGTACTTTCAGCAGACATGGGATTACAGTGACTCCCATTTAGTCAGTTTGCCAGGGCCAAAAGAGTGTTATAGAAAGCCATCTGAAAACCTCACCTCCGTGGCCTTCCAGCTGTACACATCCCTTCTCTCTGAAATAACTATTTTCACATGAATAGACACAGACATTCTGCCCAACACAGCATGTCTAACTCATTACTGCAGGATGAGTGATACTGTGTGATTCTGCCCTGGGCTGATAGATGGAATGGATGACTTCTCTAAATTTGCCATATCCCGAGGAGTTTTTGTATCCCTAGCTTTCACAAATATTAAACCCCAAAGTAATGTTGATGCTGAAGGGAAAGCAAATTATTCCAACCCGGGGAATTTTAATGACATCTGCGGGTTATAACTCTTACCTGCGCAGAGCATCATGGAATTTTCCTTTCTAACATAAAAGACTGATCAATTTTTGGAGACACTGATTTGACCTCTTCTTCATGAGTCTGTTCCCCTCTTCCTCGAATCTGTACTACATACCTACATACTAATTTTCCTTAAACCTTGTTTTCATTTTATTGCTTTTATTTATAATTTATTTACAATTGCCAATGACAATCTCTGATAGAATTAAGTCTGAATGCATCTGTCTAGCTTTTAAGATCTTTCTTAACCCCAGGTGCCACATAGATTGGTCTCCTCACTGTCCCAGGGCCTCACCTACTGCTCCTCTGTAGGGCTCCCTTTACCTGGAATTCTCTTTCATTCATTCAGTTTCATGCATTCAACAAGCAGGTGCACAAAGTAGAAGGGAACAACACAAAGTCCCCATGTTCTAGAAACTCGAAGTCTAATGGGGGAGAAAAACAAGGAAGGGGCTGAGGTAAGTGGCTATCCATAGAGGGCACTATGGGAGTACATGGTAGCGAAGCAGGGAGGTATGAAATCCTGGTTTGAGGACAGTAAAGTCTTCCCAGAGAAAGTAGCATCTAATCAGCGTCCAAACTGGAAGTCAGCCAGATGAGGGATGAGTAACATGCGGTGAGTGAGGAGACTGATCCCTTCAGGGAGAATGTCATCCTGCCATTCAAATCCGCCCTAAAGGTCAGTTCAAGTCGTATCTCCCCATAAGGCTTTTTCACTGGTATCTTGACTGATATCATGGGAAAAGGACGGGCTTCCTCTGTCTTTTCTTCACTGGTCCTGAGAGGGTCCTGGGTCCCTCTCACTTTGCTTTTTGGTGGCCAGCTGATAGGAAGATGTAGCCTCAGGAGAGAAGATACAGCCCTTTTAGGTGTAGGCCTAAGTCATGTGCTTTAGTCTGGTTCATCAGAGACTAAACATTGGGTATTATGGGCACAACCCAGAGTGGTACCCTGTTTTCTGTTTTCTAGTTTATGTATTTTTTCAGAAACCTCCCAGGGAGGAGTGTCACAGATTTGAGGTGGGATTTGGATGTCCCTGAGTGCCTTAGTCAAGTGCCATACAAAAGCACCCCCAAACTGGCATTGGACCTGTAATATTTCCCATTGTTTCAAGCTATTTTTGAGCTTTGAGCAATGGTAGCCTATGGCCTAACACAAAGAACGGTTGTCAATTAAATATTCACAAGATGGCGATGAATGCAGAACCCAAGTTTGCAGGAGCCGACTATAGAAAAAAAACAAAAGTGTAGGTGAAGGAGGGAAGCAGAGTGCTTTTCCAAGCCTCTTCTCAGGTGGTAAACAGTTGATTCTCAAAAGGGACAATCCATTTTATTTCCAGAAAGTCTAAACAAAAGAAACAACAAAACAGGCCTCATTTTCTCATTAGGCACATGAAATCAATCTCATTGTGCTTCCAGACATTCAGTTATTCTCTGCTCAAACCTGAGGAGCTGTGTGAATTATTGCTTTTCTAAAGCTAATTGTTACACTTTGCCATTTGCTATGGAATCACTCAATGCAGTGAAAATAGAAAGTTCACAATGCGAAAAATGCTTCCCAGATCCACGGAAGAGTCCATCCCTGTGTTCATCAGCCGCACGGCCTCATTAGATTCTGGAATTATAGGCTTTTTTGTTAGAATTTGGTGGTGCTCATTCATTTTGACATTGTAAACACATGGTGGAAAATTCTAGTGTTTTTTGGAGATGTCCTAATAATTATGTATCCATTAATTTGTTTAGAAAAATTGGTCCTGCAGAGTAGTCCATTATCAGCTTGTTCAAAAAACTTACTGTGTGGTTCTCTCTAATTTAAAATGCAAAAGTTAGATAAAGCACATCCATAAGTTGAAAGTAACACATCAGCCAAAACATGTCGTAGGAGCAAGAGTTTTGCCAAACCCTTCTCTAACTTGCGAAGTATAAACAATGACAACTCAAGAACATACCAACTGTTCCCCTGGAATTACCTTGATGTCTGCTTTACTTATTCCTTCAGCATTACTAAAGGAACTTAGGTTTCTCTTTGGCATTGCTGCCTTTATTTTTATATCTATTATAATATCACCAGCTATCTTCTCAGTGATAACTATTGGTGGCATTGAATTTCAAAATCTTTCTCATCATTCACTTTTCTCCATTTCCTAAAATAATTAGGCTTACTGAATTCTCAACTCTCCTCATTTTTGTCCAGGTTCACTCAGTCTGTAATCTTTCCCATCATCTCCATATTTTCAAATTATACCCATTTGCTTAAATGTCCCAGAGGAATTCCATGAAATTGACTATCATCCTACCCATGCTTAATCTTTACTCCTCTGAAACCCACTGGTAATTTATTTCCCCTTGTGTATGGGGAAATGTACCTTTACCACTTTGTACCTTGCAGTACAGTTTTAGTGCTCATGTCTTATTTATGTGATAAACTTAGGCCTCCGTGAGGATTGGCATTATGTTAAATATATCTTCCTATCATTCACAGTGTCCTTTACATCTTGTCCCTCTACTAAGCCCTCAATTAAAATTCATTGATTAAATGATGGACAGTGAAAGAAAAAGTGGAATGGTCATTTTGGAGGCAAACAACAAGGCAGGCACCCAGGAGAGGTCCCAACCATTCTTTTTAAATCTATCAATCCTCAACTTTAGTTTTCACTAGTATAAGTTCAATGCTTCTCAACTGGTTTTTCATGAACATAATCAATAAAGAGACAAGATATGAAAATTTTTAAGTTGCCTTTCTTGACGGGTTTGCTCCTCAGTAGTTTCCATGGCACATTCCAGAGAATTCTGGAGAGACTGCAGCTGGTTCAAGGTCTCCTTCAATAAAAATCGAGTTACAAATTGTTCCAGATTGGAGGCTTCTTGGTAGTCCTAAGGGTGACAAAAGAAATGCTATTAGAAGTATGGTAGAAGAAAACACCTGGAAATGGTTTTTCCTCCGTGTACCCACCAGTCTCAGGTTGGTCCTACAGACAGAGAGAGAGAAATTGTTGAGAGAGACAGTTGAGAGAGGAGGAAAGATGTGTTGGTCCCTGGATGCTACTCAGAGTTCCATCCACCCTCCAAAAGTTGAATAAAAAAACCGCAGGAATGACTCAGGAATATCTCACCTCCCACTGCACCTACCTCAAAATTGGAGAAAAGGACAAAACCCAGCAGAATTATAGAATAGACATCTGTAAAAAAGGAAAAATAAATATCTGGGGGAATTAAATAGGTTGGAATGTGACTGTGAGTTTGTTTTGTGTTTCATTTAAATGATGACCACGCCATCATATATTTTCTCTATTACCAATAAAATTCAGTCACGTTTCAGAAATTGGCTTAATTCTCTCTTGATGTATTTATTATGCCTCATCTGTATTAGGCTGAAGCCAAAGAAAATTATGTGTAGTTATTTTAAAATTAAGAAAGTGTTAGGCCTGGAATATTTAAACAGTTTACTAAATCTGCTTGCTTTTCTCCCTCAGCAACCTTACCTAAAGCTCATTTGGAACCAACTTCTAGAACCACACGTCAGCCAAAAAAGCACCATTCATTCAAACAGCTCCAGGTCTACACAGAGATCACTGCAGACTTAATAACCATACTTAATAATGTGTTGGTTATGGAGGTACGAAAAGGGGTCTTCGCTTAATTAAGGTAGATGGGTGAGCTGTGGATGGTTTCTCCGGCTGCTCTTGTTTTCTAGAGTCTCAGGGAGAACCAAGAAAGAAAACCAGGTTGGTGTGAAATAAAGTGGTGTCAGAGCTACTCTTTCAGGTCATAGGACCAGACAGCAAAATCTGATTTTCTAGGGTCTTGGGTGGGAACAGCATATTCAAGTTCAGCCAAGGAAAGGATTTGTTTGGCCCTGTTCCTAAACAAAATGATTTTTTTTTCATGGTTGAAAACAGAAGACGAAGAAGGAATTATGGTGACAAGATAATGACACGAATCACGACGTGCTGGGGAATCTGAGGGCATAGTTGTAAGCCCACACTGCAGTTATTTAACCTGGCTGATTCTCAGCCTTCTCACTTAGAGCTCAAACTAAGTAACTCTGGCATACATTCCAACTCAAAAATACTCTGTGCTTCTGTCAGCTCCAAATTAGGAAATATTGGACTGTGGCCTCCTGATATAAATTACTTTGGAAGTTTTTCTATTAGAAGAACAATCTAATATCATGGAAAACTTCATTTCTTTCCTAATCTGAAATAGTAAAAGGTTTTCATCGTCAGCCTCTTTTTAAGCACGTTGTGTGCAGGTGAACAACACAGGAAATTTTCTTATTCATCATACCTAATACTCTTATTTTAAAAATTAAACCCCATTTTTGTTTAAACCCCATGTAAGAAACTAACCATCAAATAAAAATAATAATCATTAGAATTTTGGGTGAGTAAAATCAAGCTAAAAGATACAGAGAATACTTAATTTGATCTCATAGCTTGCTGTTTATTGGCAATAAAAACTTCAAAAAATTATCTCTCATTGTGTTTTTGAAAATTGAGAAAAGTTTTCTTTTGAGATGGAAAGAAATTATGATGATGAGAAAAAAAGTGTGTACGATTCTTTCCCCAGTTATTTCCATTTTGCCAACGCATATTTTTAAAATAAAATTTATTACAATGAAGACAAAATATAATTGCATAGTCAGAGATTATTCCAGCTATATTTGCATCTCAGTATACACTATGACTAATCTAAAGCAAATGATAAAAAGTTTTATACCTATTTGTAGACAGCATTGAAAAATGAAGGAAGCATACATTTGCCAAGCAATGAAGCATAGCAGTGGCCTTATTCTTTTTTTATTTAAATGTTAAATATTTGTCATATAAAAACTATAGAAAAGAGATTGGTATTTTTTTTTAAGTTAGCCAATTTAAACACTCTGGTTATTGCAATTAGATTTTCGCTTCCTAGACACAAAGGTCATGCCTTATACTTCTGTATTCCCCATGGTGCCCAGAAGAGATACTCATTCATCCCGACTGTTTGCAGACAAACTCCTAACCCTGAGAATTTATCACATTTGCTATTATGGCCTTACATATAAAGATCTGGGTGATGTTAAAGTTAGATAATTACGGAAAGTTAAAATCAGACACTTGGCTACTCCATCGTTGCTTCATCATAGCAAATCAGGAAGTTATTATGTTGCTCGCACTTTTATCTCACTCTGATGAGAGTTTGCTATCCCCACTAGTGACCCTCATATAACATTAAGAAACGTCACAACCTAGCTGGGTTGATATATTTGATATAAATGTCGATGCCTTGGCATTGAGAGAGGTGGGTGGGTACTTCAAAGGCTTTGGGGGATTCCGTTTTTTGAGTTAATTATGAAGGCTGGCTGTTATACGCTGCCCCTTGGTGATAAGAAGAAAAAAGAAGTTGTTTTCTAATATCCCTAGTTATCCTTCCAGACTCGGCTTGTGGCACTCTCTGTTCAGCCGTTCCTTCCTTTGTACCACCACTTCCCTTCACAGGATCAGACGTACTTCCTTCCTTCTCCTGTGTATTCCTGTAACACCTTTCCCCTACCTTGAATATAGAACCTGTCACTTGATAATTGTAATTGGTTGTTTACTCGTCTATATCGCCCATTTTAGGCTAGCTAATTTAAGCACAGGGATTATGTCTTATTCATCTCTGCCTCTGGAATGCCCAGAACAAAGCCTGACTCATAGCAGCTTAAAGAGTGCGTGAGGAACGGGGTACCATATGGAGAGGAAGGCACCAGAGGGAGTGTCTACGCGCTCTGGGAACTGCTCTTGCCGCTGGCCAGTCACCAGCTGCCGCCCCTGCCCCCAGCCCCTCGCTGGTTGTAGATGCTGCTACCCAGCCTGCCCGATCATGTGGGCTCTGCAATAGAAGGAAATAGAGCTTTGTTCTTAGCAGACTGTTTGTCCTCTTTTTATTTTCTAGACCATTTGTTCGTCTTCTTCCCTTCCCTTATTCTGGATCCCGGGGTTTGGGACTGCAGACCCAGGTGGCGCAGATCCAATCTTCCTTCCCTTTTCTCAATATGCAGCAGATGTTCCTTTGGAAGGCAGTGGCAAAAGAAGCAGATGGAAAATTAAATAGATAACAAGCTGGAAAATGTCAAAGCCTAGCCCTTTTTATTCTCAACAAATGTGTTGGTCGTGAAGGTACAAAAAGGGATCTTTGCATTCCTAACTCCCCAGAAGATTGATGTGCTGGCATAAGACACGTGTTCCTTTGAGCAAAACCTGTATTTGAGAGAATGGCAGAAAGAACTTGCACTGATCTAATAAAGCAGTAAAAAAAAAAAAAAAAAAGAAAGAAAAGAAAAGAAAAAAGTACAGATAATACTCAACATCCAAATTCTGCCTCTTTTTTCAAACACAGTTTAGTCCCTCATGTCTGTTAGAAAAGATATGGACAAATGAAAGCGAACAGTGTATTTCTCAGATCCCAATAATGTTCATTCATGTCATTGATAATTGTCAGTTACATGAATCATTACATGGAAGTTGTTAATAAAGTAGCATTAATACTTCCATTTTTGCCTTTGGAAAGCCAAAATGTAAACATTTCAAACCATATTATCTTTTGTAGCACTGGAGCAGAGCTAGCATTCATTTAAGTAAAAATACTAGCACTAGAAGCACAGTGCTTTGAAAATCAGGTTTCTTAGTGGACTGCACATCTTAATTGTCAGGTCATTTTTAGGAAGCAAGCTCTGCCCAACTGGTTGATGGAAGAGAGGAGATTGTAGCTATTACCCCACTATGAATTATCTGAGTTAACTAGGAAAATCAGAGCATCAAACTTCCCTCTTTGTAGTAGCCCTTTTGAAAATCAATCAAGTCAATGACATCTAGTCTCAGTGAATTCTTGTTTATAAGGTCAGAAACAATCACATTTAGCAGGGGGTACTGCTGCTGACTGTCTTTTGGTCTAAGTCCTTCCAACTCTCACTAAGCTCGTTTGAGACATTGTACCAGCTTCTATAACAAGGAAAAAAAATATCACTTTACAAAGACAGGGTTGTCTTTTTCTCTTTTTCTACTCTTCCCCAAATTATTACCTTTAAAAAGTACTAACTGGCTTACACACATTATCTGTGCCCTACTTCTTTTAAATATTCTTAGGCTTTCATTTTTAATGGCACATATTTTTTTTTCCACACTGGGAGAACACTATATCAAATTTAAGTCTTGAAAAATAAATAATAATGAGCTGGTTCTTAATTATCTTAAAAATGGACTGAGGTTAGTGTTATATACGTCTTTGGAAACCTTAGATGGCAAAACAGGAGAACAAAATAATTTCAGACTATGGCATCACAAGGATTAAAGGAATTAATGATAGATTCTCAGGTTAGTGGAGGAGGAGGAGACAGATTATAATTTTGGAATAAAATCTTATTCAACACCAATAAATTAAAATAATTTCAAAGCCCTATTTTAGCCAGATAATCTGTAGTTTGAAATCAGAAAATACTTTGATGAGTTGTACTATTTAAGACCTTTATATTGACAAACTCCATTGTAAAGGGCTTATTCTAGAGTTGTCAAGGACTTATTTTGTGTAGGCTTCTTTCCTCTGGCTCCTTATATCAATCTGTCTCATATCAGGAGACCCTACCAAGAACATATGACCCCTTTCATGTCTTTTCCTAAATAACAGTCCCATTCTGATAAGAATAATCCTCTTCAAATAAGTGGAATTTTAGTAAAATGCACATGGGTATGAGGATGGGGACATCCACAGAGCCAGCCCAACTCTGGAGATAAATAGCTAACAGATGAGGACCCAGGTCACATTCCCAGGCATCTTGTCACCTAGTGTAGTGCTTAAGAATCTGGGTCCAAAGATAGCTACACTTAAGTTCCGATACAGGCCGGGGGCAGTGG